AGACGAGAGAGAGAGAAAGAGAAGAGAGAAAGCCGCGCGAGCGAGAGAGAGAGAGGACGAGAGAGAGAGAGAGAGAGAGAGAGAGAGAGAGAGAGAGACGCAGGCGCGAGCGAAGAGAGAGAGAGAGAGAGAAGAGCAGAGAGAGCGCGAGAGAAAACAGAGAGGTGTGTGCGCGCGCGCGCCGCGTGTGCTGAGAGAGAGAGAGAGAGAGAGAGCTGTGCGTGATTGTGCTGGCTGTGCTGGCTGTGTGTGGTGCGTGCGTGCGTGCGTGCGTGCCGTGCGTGCGTGCCGTGCGTGTGTGTGCGTGCGTGAGAGAGAGAGAGAGTGTGCGTGTTTGTGCTGTGTGTGTTTGTTTAGTGAATCAAAGTACTTATCCATACTACGTACACTACGACAGTCGACAAACGTGCATAGGCCTACACTAGCTATTATAAAAAGCGCTGCGTTTGATAGCTAGAGTAGATGCAGTAAAATCGGTAAAATTTCTGAAACTCACGATGTAAACAAACTCAAGTCTATGAACATAATATGTGTGGCGGCAATCCAATTCTGCCCAATTACGAATCTGCCGACTGTGTGCAGCCTCATTGAACTGTAGCACCTAAAACCCACGCTGATAAACCTGTCTGGTAAATCGGGATCCTCTTACCTCTTCTTCTTCCTTCTTTCTTTTTTCTCTCTTTTTTTGAATCTCAAGGCGGAGATATTTGTACAGGCCATCCCCTCCTTCAAGAGCAGGGGGATGCATCCCCCCATCTCCCCCGGATTTACGCCCGTGTTAGTGACTGCGGAGCGCTGCACGGAGCGGAGCGGGGACGCGGGGTGCTCGAGTTTGAAAGAAAAATGAAAATAACGCCTAAAAATACCGCATTTCCTTGCCACATTTTTTCTGTATTATATCATATTTTTACTTCTTGTTGTTTCATTAAAATCATCAATTTGGCAGAAGAAAAATTTGTCATCATACATTCCTTGGTACTCACATCATTTATTGGCTAATAAGGCCGACCAAAAATTACCTTTGGTCGGGTCACCCGCCCGCTCTTCACATTTCGGAGTGAAAAATGTGCGACTGCGGTCACTTTTACAGGGTTTCAAAAAAAATATATTCAAAGATACCGCCTGCCTGCCGAAAACAGGATAATAGGGCCCTTCTGTTCTCTCTCCCTCTCTTTTTCCCTCTTTCTCTCCCTCCTCTCTTACACACACACTCTCTCTCTCTCTCTCTCTCTCTCTCTCTCTCCTCTTCTTTTCTTTTTTTTATGTTTGTTTGGGACAGAGGCAAGGGGGGTGTTTAACACCCCAAACACCCCCCCCCCCCTGCGTACGCCACTGCTCTACTATATTACCATTATTTAGTTATACACGGTAATATATGTAAAAACCCAATGTCATGTTATATTACGTAAAACTGCCAAGAAATGTTTTAAGGATGCTGTCAGGATAAATTTCACATTAAACATTTTTTAAATTTAAATTTGAATAACAAAAGAAATGAAACAGCTAACAGTATAAAACTTTCCAGCATTGTTCTTACTTTCTTACCACCAATACAGTCGTTACCACCACCACCACAGTTTACGGTTAGTATCTTGAAGTTTTAAGACCATTTTTTAAATCATTTTTAATTTTTTAAATCATTTGATACGAAGCATCTTATATATATATATATATATATATATGTTTGGAGTTTATGGGATGAATTCAGAGGCAAGCCAGGTAAGGCAGCCAGGTAAGGCAGCCAGGGAAAACAACCCAAATATAGGCCAATTATCAAGGGCCGGCAGGACAGCGAGTAAAGCTGGGTTTACACTACCGACTCAGGGGTAGAAATTAACTTTTGAACACGGGAGTCCAACAGACTCCCTACCCTCAAAAAGAAGGAGTCCACAGCAAAATGAGAGAGTCCGCAGTCTGAGGTTCAAAATTAAAGATATTACTAATAACGCATGTGCTTATTTTTAAGATTCATGCAGTTGCACGTCTGCCAAATTTTCTCTGGACATTAGCTGAAAAATAAGATAATTCCGTGAGGCCGTGCTCTGGAACGAACTAATTAGTATGGCAGCATTTTCAAGGAGTCACACGGACTCCTGCATAATCAAATCAAGGAGTCCGACAGTAAATCAGGGAGTATTTGACTCCGGACTCCCGCTAATTTCGCACCCTGCCGACTTTATGTTGGCAAATTTGACCAACTTCCCAACTATTGCAACCGACAATCGGCAGTGTAAACGCAAAAGTTGCGCGACCAACCGATCGATAACTACTAGTTGGGAGATTAGAACATGTTCTATTTTCGCCAACTCTGAGTTGCCGAATTGCAAAATTGGTCCACTCGCCAATTCGCCAACATAAAGTCAGTAGTGTAAAACCCGCTTAAGCAGGACAATTAGAGCACTTGCCTTGGATGCTGTGGGAAACTCGGTTCCCAGCACAAGTGTGTGGAAACATTAGTCTTAACAATAAACTTTTTTCAAAGACTGTTGACAGAAACATGGCAAAGTTACGAGTTTCTTATACGCAGCAGCGTACACAGGTCCAGTCCACAAGGAAAAGTTAATGTTAAGATTAATGTTAAAACTAATTTTGTTTCTAACAATGGGCTTCTGTGCATGGGTTGTTGATATTTAACTGTAGAAATAAGTGTCTAATTAAATTTAATAGAGTCATGGAATTCCACATTAATAAACCACCAGCATTCTCTTTTTCATTGAGATGGGATAATTACCTCATTTATGATTTTGCAGCTCTTGACAGCACCTATCTGGCCGAAAAGTGCATATATGAGCTCCTCCGTCACAGATGGTTCAAGGTTCCCAACGTACCTGCAATAATTCAATGTCATGCACCCGTCATTATAGGTAACATACTGATTGTTTGCTAGTCAAAACACACTTAAAAAGCTCCTGGGTGCCCTGTCCACTAATGATGTTTCTCAAAATAGATTGTCCTAATGTGAGTTATGTACGGGCCACCTGTTGCACTTGTAGGGGTAGAAGGGAAACATTCACTTACCCTAGCTCAGGCCTATGTGGAATGCATGTGGCTAATCGGAACTTATTTGTTCGGTATTTAGTTGGGCCTCACACCTGTTTTACCACCTTCATTTCTTAATATATTATGTGTACCTGTTTGTCTCTCAGAATATGAATACAGTCAACTGTGGATACATAAATACAGTACACCTGGCAAGACTGATAACTGTCTTCTACCCCCCCCTCCCCAGATTAATGTGAAAGTATTCCCATACTATGTGAATGGATGGCACTGAACATATCTGCATTGCATTATGCTACGAATAGGTTTTTAAACTAGACATTCCACCTAAGCTTCTTCCCCATCTATGAAGCTATAGATAAAACGAATTCACAGCACAGTGCTTTGTTTTATACTGTCTCTGCTATGTGGGCTAGCTATTTATGCCTGCTGATGGCTCCGGACTGGGAGGGAGGCTATACATGTACATGCTGCAATGCATTGCATTAGAATGACATGATTAAGGTCCTACAGTATAAAGTTGGGTGCAATCCTGCCCGCAATGTTTCTCCAGACTGTTCATCTCTAGAGTGATGTTGTAGCTGTGAACAGACCTGGAAAAGCACACCGCCGAAAGCAGTGACTATCAGGTATATATATGCACGTGAACGAACACATCTTACAGAGTAAAAATTCGTGTTGAGCACGATTCTACTATAACATTACATATATTTACAGCTAGAAATTCTGATACTCAAAGTTCAGAATATTTGTACCAAGAGTAGTTCTAAATGAATCATACCATCTCTCATCCCATTTACCCTCGAATATCACCTACGATTATCCACGCTTTCTACATACTTCTGGTAGTAGCTATATAAAATTTCACTGCATTTATAAATAAACCATTATAGACATCCACACACCTGCAAATCAATCATATACAAAGTCTCATTAATTTATTGGAATTGTTGACTGTCACACTAAAGGTATTCACAAAGAGGTCTATAGTCAGGGAATATTTGCACAATAACATGTATTTCTAAATGACCTATGTAATTTGCTTTAAAAGCATAAAGTACATAGAAGGCCTTTCAACCAATCATGAAAGAAATCTACAGAATAAATAGGATGCAGTTTAATGTAGAATACCTTTGTTTTATCTGCTACTAGACTTAAATTTAGAGAAAAGTACTTTCTTGTATTTAAATTTTACTTCATAATTTAAAATATACACTTGACCTTATTTCCATATATTAACTCAGCTAGGTCTACTACTTGTGAACATAAGTAATGTGCCAACAGTTTACAATGCAAGACCAAACATGAATGAGTGAACCATTACTATATACTAAACTATATTACCAGCTGTACCAAACTGTTGCATGGAATTGCTTTTTTACAAACACCTATTAATATATGAATCAAAATTAATGGCTATTTAAAAACCAATTATTATACCAGACTTGTTATTATTAGCATAACTAACTAATTTTCCCATTAACAGAAATTCATTTAAAAAAAACTGATGTCTGTCACAGATTCATATATGATCTTGGAACAACTGACTGCTAACAGAACATCGCATGTCTCTGGAATCAACATAGAATCCGGTTTCATTCTCCTGACAGTTGAAAACACAATGAATTACAAACTCCTTTACTATACATTGCATAGGTATGGCAACCGTAAGCAGAGACTGTGTACATAAATACTTGGCTGTCCGCAGTCGTATACTTACAAAGTACGTGGATTGTGTTCGTTGAACGGATTGCTACCAGACATCTGAAAAATAAAGGTAAAACTGAGTGTCATATACACTTCAGTGGAGACTGACCAAGTACAACCAGGCCGCGAAATTAGCACCGGCCCACCGGTATATGCCGGCAAATTATTTGGAGGGCCAGTAACATTGGCAAAACACCTGCCCTCCGAGCCGGTGATTTCAGCCGTGTTAGCGAGTACCTATATGTTTATTTATAGCATTAATGAGCAAATAGCCAACAATACTGTTTTACCTGAAGAATATCATGCCATAATTTACCAACATTTTACAGATTTGAAATCGAGAATGCAAGCATGAAACATGACATTGACAAAACACTTTGGACATCATTCACGATCTGCATTATAATCTGTTCAACAGCTACTATGCGATGCCGCACACAACAACATTTTTCGGACAAGCAAGAGTCAGTGAAATAGTTTTATCTTTATTTTGGGAGAAAAAAAAAATTGTGAGGTAAATTATGGTGAGGGCTGGTCAAAAACTGCTCTTGCCAGCCCTCTGGCGGGTGCAAAAAATCTTAATTTCATGCCCTGACAACAATAACCTTCCTGCCCTCATGATCTTTTCCAGAGGTTGGTGATAAATTGTTTGACATGGGTCACCAAAAAATTGACATGTACAACCTCTGAATACAATAATAAAAAACTCAAGCAGACAGCTAGGTGCTATGCCATGCAAATTGGTCAGTCAGTAAGCATTTCGAAACCCATTACCCAAGTTTACTCAAACTGCTTACACAGGGCTGCACCATATTGTATGAGTGCAAACAGAAAGGAATCTTTGCAATGTCTGCTCAATAGTATCGATCCTATTTCAGATATAATATGGCTGCCAATTTTGGTCAGGTGAATGTTTGCATTGGTTAAACAACAATCCAAGTTGACAAAATTATAGCAAGTTGAGTTTCAGTCATGATTAGCTATCTAAGGCCAACACATTTATTTTGCTAACTATGGTATTTTTTTGTTATTTGTATGACACACTACAGCATAGGTTGTCATACTGCAAAGATTCTTCGCTGGCGCCTTCGTACTTCTCTAAATAACCCTATGGTGGAGCAAAGGGTCCCATGGGTGAGGGTAGTGCAGTTGAAGTGCAAACTTCTGCTATTGAATATTCATATTGTGCTAGATAAATGCTATAATTTCAATTGTTTCAATGTTCGGTATGCCATTAGATACAATAATGTAACCCAACAAGAGTAGGGTTACAACGCGAGCCTATTCTTTTCTTTGGAGGAGCCCCTGAGTGATTCACTCAGGGCGGTTTTATGGTGCGTTTTTCGAAACTAGAACTTCCAAACTAGGTTTATTCTAAACACGAACCTTTCTCCGCTATCCTGGGACTTACTATGTATCACAATACTCTGTATTAAACTAATATAACTTGTTACAAAATTTTGAAGCGACGAGCGTGGATACTTCGAGCGCCATTTTTGTTGACCTGTGACGTACGCATTCCTAATGCATATAACATTCGGCTAACTTCGGCTCCAAGATCGAATGCATCATGGTGTGCCTGCTGTCAGTCATGACATCACCAGAGCCAGCAAGTCAGGCAACACAGGAGCCAAAGTTAGCCGAATGCTATGCGCATTGGGAATGTGTATGTCTACAGGTCAACACAAACGGCGCTCGAAATATCGCCGCTCGTCACTTCAAAATTTTGTAACAGGTTATATTCGTTTAATACAGAGTATGTATATTGTGATACATAGTAAGTCCCAGGATAGCAGAGAAAGGTTCGTGTTTAGAATGAACCCAGTTTGGAAGTTCTCGTCTCGAAAAACGCACCATAAAACCGCCATGAGTGAATCCCACAGGGGCTCCTCCAAAGAAAAGAATGGGCTCGATTTGTAACCCTACTCTTGTTGGGTTCCATTATAGTTCCGGTATACCGGACCGTACCCAGGGTACATTCCGGCAGTAACCTGGGGGACATAGACCCTATAGGCCTAGCTATGTCTATGAGCTCTAGTATGCCATGTGATTAAGTGTTGCACAACACTGAACAGTGGATGATACTGACCAGTTTACAATGGCCACAGACATCGTCTGTGGCGTAGGTTAAATAATTGCGTTTGGGAGATAACCCATCTCTTGTAAGGAAGAGGACCACAGAATGGAATTATATGTGCATGCTTGCAAGGTTTTCATCAAATCTCAAATAAGTAAGCGCGCTAACCCAGAAAGTAAACTAACATTGTCAGTCTAACAAGTCACATAAACATGACGAGGATCACATGAAACGAACATGTTCGTCGCTTATATTGAACAAATCACATGGGAGCGTGTGTGTTTAGCTATTTATTTTGGTTTTTTGGTTTGTTAGTGGGTCACTGTTATTGCGTTATTCCACCGAATATAGAGAATAACGCTAACAATCAAAACTCACCTGGTTCATCGTGATGATGGCGCTAGTTAACTATGTATGGACAACGTCATTTCCGTTTCCGGAATTCTCGCGAGTGCATACTACCGCATATAAGAAAAATTGCGGAAGTGTACATGATAATCTTGTAGATTATCTCTTATTTGTTTCAAGTTATCCCTGCCCAAACACCAGTACTTCTAAATGTTATATATGGGGGGGGGGTACACATTAGATATGAGGATTTTGAAAATGCCATACCATTGGTTGCCAGGTCGTGGAAACTGGCCACTTGAGAATCTTCAAATAAGGGGGATGCTAAATGACAGAAATATATAATGAAAAATGAGTAACGCATATTCTAATTAATGTTTGGTTTCTGAGTGATTATATATATTTCCTATAAATAATTTAGATCTTTAGCTGGTGGATATTCTTGGGAATCATAAACAGCTTTCCACTATAGAGGCCGCTAATAGAGATCTTTATACTCGATACTATAGTATTAGCCACCACAAACAGATTCCGGGTCGAAAATAGTATTAGCCACCATAAGGCCATGAGAATTGAGGTATGAGAGAAAGTGAGGTTTTTTTCATTTTTCATTTTTCATTATTCATTTAATATAGCTTGTCAACGTTTCCAATTGTAGCCTGGTACGTTTTTCCGTCTGTAAGTCGATGTACTCAGGATATGTCAGCATGCTTTTGCACCCTAAATAAAAACCAAACAGTACCACAAGGTAGCTAGAGCCAGAGGGGTATCAGGACCCCAATGAAGGATGTGAATACTAAATAGGCCCTATAGAGTTTTTGTATTGGTAATGTATGTTTTAATCGCTCTGAATGAACAACTTGAGTTTTAATGATTTAAAAATGAAAATAATGAAATACTTTTGAAATAATGAATATTTTCGGCGGTGGCTCTGACGGCATGCGGGCGGGGGACGGTAAACTCATACCTCAATTCTCATGGCCTAAACAGATAACGGGCCGAAACTGCATGTTATTATAGCCATCATAAACATACTTCAGGTGGACCCAACAATTTCTTGGCCACCACAAAGAGATTACGAGAGCAAACATTTCTTAGACACAACAAACGAATGGTGGGCCCAAAAATTTCTTAGCCACCACAAACAGATTGTGGGGACTAAGATTTTCTAGCCAGTGTGGTCCTAAGAAAAATGCTTACACATCATCATAGCCACTCCTATTATTGTAATAAGCTTCCAGTTTACATGTAACTCGTGCATATGTGGCTCATCAGTTTTGTTGTGGAGGCTTTACTTTTCTATCTAGTAGGACTCCGTGCTCTCACTCGGACCTGTATAAAATTCCTGAACTGTGGCTAAAATTTGTTAAAATCACATATCCCGCAATGAAATAACCGTTCTAAGTTAAAAACAAACGTACGTACGTGAGAATTGACGTTTCAATCCTTCTTAGCACTGCATGTTTCGTAATGATTGTCTCCATGGACATTATGGGTAAAAAATGCTATCCAAGTTATATGTAATGACGTAAAAATGATGGCTTATAATTACCGTGGTGTCACGGAACACGCGACATACTTATCCGGCAGCAATATTGGTGAACATCTCAGATACTGGTACTGACACTATGCAACCTTTATGGAAATTTCCATATTGTGTGGGACAAGCTGTGACATAAAGATATAACAACGAAGCAGATGTAACTTTTTTTCAAAATATAAATATTTTAATGCAGCTACAGAGGAATTAAACAATCAACAGAATCATCAGATTTTTCTAATATCTTTATAACCACATTATAAACTTTTGCAAAAAAATAATTTGAAGCACACTTGGGGGTTTGCTTCTGCAATTACTTACAGAACCATGAGCATGTAAGATAATTAGTAATCTTATATTTAAATCTGCACCGACACAAAATTATATATATATATTGCCATGGTAAAACAAAATGGTTGTATAACAGTTAGTCTGTATTAGTGAATTTTCACACACTGCAGTTTTCATAAGCTGTATATTAATATATCTCTGAGAATATTGTAGGATATTGCATTTCAGGCCCGACCAAAAACCTTTTACATGGAGGGTATCCCCCCCCCACACACACACAAACTTAAACCCCCTTAACACACTACTGCCAGGTAAAGTCACAAACTCTTCAGACCAACTTAACAGCTCTGTTGAAAAACTATATATGAATATTTGATAAGAATTCAAAGTACAGCAAAGTTTACTTTTGGTCTATCATATTGAAAACCTGCTTTTCTCTGATCTCAGCTATGTTATGACAACGACATTCTTAACCTATACAAGTGCATAGATATCAATCAACACGTCTAAATGCTGAACATGATCAAAAACATCAAATGAGCATTATATGTGCTCATAATAAATTATCATATTTTAATGCACTGTGTGTATATAAATAATTGGAATGCACAATTTTATCAATGTTTCTATTATAAAAAATATCAATATCACTGAGATCTTCATGCATATAATATCAAAATGTCATTAGAAAAAATAACGCATTCACGCAGTAAAAACTGCTATGGCGTTTTAGAGTGTATGTATACACGCATGTACACGTTTGCAATTTTAATGTATAGTTTCAAAGGCACATATAGACTGTTGCAATACACTGCTGAATGTATGTGCTCTATATAGTTTACAATTTAGAACCCCAACATTCATCTGTTACAAACGTTCTGCCTTAGATGTTGTCAGACTTTATTACCATTAACCACAGTTAACATTACATGTGACATTCAAGCATATGGTCACTGGATTTCTGTATCACTGGTACAAGAAGCAGCGACCTCTCCAAAACAATGGGCCGTACCGCCTGTCTCACAGACGGGATCATCACTACAGGCAATTACCAGAAGGTTCTTCTTAACATTGTCCTCTTTCTGCTGTTTATCAGCATTCATCACGATCACAGCAGGTCTTTGACTAGACCAGGTAGGCTTTCCTGCAGTAGAAACAAACTTCGCCAAAGGAGATCGCAGAGGTCGTGACACTGGCAGCCACTTGCGAGGAGAACCGGCATTCTCGACAATGTCCCACGTGCTGCGCATCACCAGTCTGCTTGTGACCGCCTTATAGCAAGTGAGAAAGGTTAATGAGTGATTGAATAATTTCATCGGATCTCTATAGTTCACATGAAAATAAAGTTTATCTCAGTTAGATCCACAATAAGTACTAAATACTTACACTGACGAAATTTTCGTCCATCTCTCCGATAGACTTCCTCAGGTCTGATGTTTCAAGGTAGATGGCAGCACTGGAAACAAAGTTTGAACCTGGTCACTTTCGGGCGGCCCCCAGTCTGCGGTCCTATAGAGCAGGTGCAATTGAGGATATTGTTATATATATGGGACAGGTGGTATGACCCCTCACCTCTGTTCTCGAATGTGACCAGGTGCAAACTTCATTTCCAGTGCTGCCATCTACCTGTAAACATCAGACCTGAGGAAGTCTATGAGAGAGATAGACGAACATTTCCTCAGTGTAAGTATTTATACATATTAAGTATTATAACTTATTGTGGATCTAACTGAGATAAACATTATTTTCAAGGTTAATGACTGTTCACGTAAACCACTGAAGTATGCATGTGAAGATCAGAAGCATGTGGCATCGAACAAATATCACAAGCACACATGCGATAATACCAGTGTTTCCCCTGGCCAAAAATGTCAGCGAGGGGGTAAAAATTTTGTTGGTGGTTGCGCAATCCGAGGAGCGAGCAATGCGAGAACCAAAGGTGATGCGATTTTTTTAATGGTGCAATTTGGTGCATTCTAAGCTATTCTGAACACATTATATGACTCTTGAATCGCCTTTTCAAGTTGTCAAAAGAAACAAACGAACTATGAATAGGAAATCAGGGGGCTGAAAATAGGGCAAGTCCGAGGTCCGGGACCTGCCGATTCCACGCTCGGACCTTTGTAATTTCCAAGCAGAAAGTCCGTCAGACCTATCAATAATTTACAGTACTCCACTTTCATTAAATAAAAAATCATTAAACCATTGAAAATTGCAAAGAAATAAAGCGAAAGTAGATAGATTTTTGGTCACCGTCGACATCTAGTATCATATTTATGATTCACAATGAAACATACCAAGTATAAGAGTTAAATTTACCGAAAATCTGATCCCAATTACACGTACTGATAGCGCATGCTCCAACGTTAGTATCAGAGTTTCAGCATAAAGGAAGTATCCCATCGTTCGTGCGAGTAACTCGGAATTCCTGCAGTTTTGATTCAACAAATATAAAGGGAATCCCGCACACGTAAAGCGAGGGGAATTCCCGCGGAACACTGTCACTGACGTGACCTAGATATGTACATTTTCTCACAAAGACCCTCAAGTCGACAAAGAATCGTACGTCTTCCGTTCCACTAAGATTATAAGATATAAACTCATTCAAATAGCTGTCTTGTTTTGGATTAGAAATATATTTAGTGGCAGAAGAAATGATAATGAATGCAAGAGAACCAACCACGCGACTGCATACATTAGGGTCATAATGTCATGTTGAACAGGATTCCTCGTTTCCCTTTGAATTGAACTTTGAATTAAATAGTAGCGGCTCGTCTCCATACACCCGGCGCGGCGCGGCAAAATTCAAATCTTATCTTACGGCGCAGTCTCTGCTGACACAGTGTTCCACATTGTATGCACGCTATGCATGCTGACTGGGTTATGAACCGTGCTCACGTGACCAGCTGATTCCAGGTAGGGATAGTGAAAGTTCTTGTTGCGGTGAGAGTCGCGTTCTAACGTAGACGCAGAGTCGAGTAGACGTGTTTGTATGGTTTGCCTGTGTTGTGACTAGTGTGTATTGTGTGTGCATGTTGACAGTATTGTGAGTACGCGGCGTTGTGTTTTACGTTTGGAGCTTTATTTCGATATTAGTTCAATAAAGTGTAGTTTATTGATGGAAGAACAGTGATTTTCGTCAAGGAGTAGGTGTTTTTGGATAAATTTCTGCGTGGCAGCTAGAATTTGAGCAAGGCGGTCGCCTCGCTCGTGTCAATGCAGGGGAAACACTGATACCAGATATTAAATAATACTGGAGAGCAGTGGTTAGCTGGCACAAGTGACATTCGTTTCATTGCTAGACAACCTTCAGAATGAGATACTCACTTTTAAGATTGTCCAGACAAGATGCTGGCCAATGCAATTTCTTGGTCCACCACCAAAACAGTAGAGTTTCTCCTTGTCAGAATCGCTGCTGTAAATACCAATCAGTCCTTTGTAATTACATGCAAATCAACTATTCTGTACAGATGATTCATTTACCTCCGTATGTTTTATAAAAGCTACAGAACTTTTCAATTTTCTAGCTGTTATTCTAAACTGTAAAGTAATATACACAATATTAATGTATAGGACCTTATATATCCATAGGACCTAATGGAGGTTTTACCCCCTTAAATTCCACATATATCTGACAATACGCCATACACAGCCATTTTGCTATAAATATACCATACCGTAGCTATAAGCAGTGAAGTATCTACACGTGAAAGATACGAACCAGTCTTTCCAGCGAGCAGGTAAGAAGCTTTCTGGCTGAGGAAAAGCTTCTGGGTCAAGGTGGGCTGCATGTGCCAGGTATATCACTGCATAATTCTTTGGTATGTGAAACCCACCAATGGTACACTCCTGGTAATGAAAAAAGATACTATGAATTAAAAAGACACTATAACATTTTATTTATTATTGGAAACATTCAGCTTTACATAAACATAAGTTTAAGTCGGGTCACCTCTTCTCATAATCAGCCATGAACACACAAATTCACGCACATACACTCACACCATACTAAGTTTATAGAACAAATAAATATTACTTCTTGCTTACACTTATTGGATTTAAAACTCATACATATATGCATAAGTACTCAAATCATGAAACCCATTATTAAGATACACACAGCTTTTATACAATACATACCGGTACGTAATAATTCTGGTTATTAACTTCTTGAAATTATGTCAATAATATAAAAATGTCGATCTTACATTCTGACCAAAAGATTAAGATCTAATAAATATGTTGCATGCCATAATTCTGACTTACCATAATTGCAACACGCCTACCACCTATAAATGGTGGCCATATTCTCATCACCTCCAGTAGAATGCATTCCAAGAGGGAAACGTCCAATTCCCCATTTTTAATCAGAGGTTCCTGTAAGCAAAACGTATCAGTAGAGACCAGAATATTCCTATACATAACCTCTCTTACTCTGTGCACACAATCTACAAGCAATATAAAATGTCAAGCTTAAATTCACACAATAGCCATTAAGCAGGCCATGAAGTTAAACAAGACTGAGAACCACACATAAATGAATACGCAATGTAATATTAAAATAAGGGTACTATAATATTTTTGTAATTAACCTTTAACTTAACTTTAAAATTGCTACCTTTTATTTTCACATAAATCTATTGATATCAATTTTAAACACCCTAGCTTTCTCAGTTCTAAAAATCAATAAAATTAGACTTTCATTACACTCCATGCACTTATCAGAGAGTTACTTATTGTATAGCTATGAAATGTATGACCTTCAAGTTCATGAAATTCACCTCAAAAGCAAAAGCACATAACATTCCAACTGGATTGCTTAAAGGGACAGTAGCCTCTAGGATTTTACTGCATACAACTGTACTTACTGTATAACAAATCGTCTATACCCACATGTATTTGTCACCAGATACTTAATTAATTATTTACACATCAACGCTACGAAATTTGAACGGCGCCATGACACCCGCGACCGTGCTGCCACCCTGAAAAAGTTGCGTTTTTGCATTTTTATTTTGCAGGTAAATGACCGAGGGCTAATCACAAAAGTGCAATTATATTTATACCTAAATGCTATTTAACCGAACGATATTCATTTTAGGGCAAATTTATCCATATTATAACTGAAACTATATGTCGTTTATAAGATATTACAATCCTTTTGCTTTTAAATGAATAAATAAGAAATACCCTCGGTCTGTAGCCCTTGGCTGGAAAGTGGTTTTGCGCAACTTCTCAGATCGTGCGCTTTGAGTGGCGCCACCGTCGTTGTAATCAAACTGTAGTCGTTAGTTTTAAAACATTTTTTAAAAATATTTCTAATAATGATTGAACCATGAAACTTTTTATGTAGCGCAATTATAACCTAAATTAGCTGAAAATAACCCTAGAACCTAGAGGCTACTGTTCCTTTAATGTTGTTCAACAAACTAAAACGTTGTCTTGGAACAGCGATCTCTATTTCATAGAACATAATTTAACATATGACTCGCTTCTTTCAACATGCAACGTTGCATGACACACAGTCCAACTAATGTTTCACTGTGGGTCATAGGCCTAAGATCGCCACTGGCCTGCTTACATGGCACCAGAGGTGTGAGCAGCAGATGAACGATGTGAGGAGGGATGACAACGCTTTCGGCACGAGCGCAGAGATGAAAAGCAATAGGTTTTGTTCAGCGTCTTCGCTCTGCAGGGCAGTCTTGATCCGTGCAGGAAAGCCATCTTCTGCAGTCTGCAGTCTCTTCTTTATGATTTTCAACAGCTGCTCCTAAAAAAATGCAAACACCTGTATCGGTATTTACTGTTTGAGCAAGGAGAGTTTCGTGTAATCTCATTACTGAGCAAATTCACAGATGTTTAGCAGATGTTAAAAAACTTGTTACTTTCTGAATTCAATATTGAAACCATGTGCGGACACTACTGTAATGCAAAGCATTAGTTACCTAATGTATACCATGTGACACTATAGAATTAACATCATCTATAACTACTGAGCTCTTGTAGAGATAGAAGCAACACCTATATAATGGGATAATCCAGTTCAATTTCTATTCCACAAGTAAGAGTTCATATGCCGTTTAATCTTTCAGGATTTTGGATCAAGACTGGAGGTTTTTTGCACACATATATACATATATACCTTTGCATGCAATGCTTTGCTAAAGCCTGAAGACACTAGCCAGGGAAGACTCAGGCTCAGTGGGACTGAGATCATACCATGCCAGTGCACAGTGCTTAATTCGCAGAGCTCCTTCATTAGATCCACTGACAGGGAATGATCCAGGCCGAGAAACAGAGAAAGGCAAAGTTGCGTTGTCACCTGCTTGAAATGCTCATACACCAGAATGTAGTCCCTGTACACAACAATACAGAAGAGTTACCAATAGAAAAAGTACTGATTGCAGACCATAATAACCACTACACTGATAAATCAATACTGAATAAATAATAATCTCAATGCCATCAGCACACATGTATTCAATGTGTATGCCAACATTTCAAATGTCAAATGTGTAAATGTCAACATGTATTTAATGTGTTCAATAAAGGATGCATATATAGTAATGAAATTTTGTAACATAAATGTTCAATACCGTGTATTATTAAACCTCGTTTAGGAATATGTCTTGTCTAATAAAGGAGATATTATAATGTAGGAATTATTAAATAAATACAAAATGCTCACTTTGACAACATGGTCTCCACAGCTTCTTCCGCAAACCTGTCATCAAAGCAAAATTATTTATTTATTATATACATAGTACACACCATAGTAACACAACTACGAAGCTTTATCAAGCCACAGAAATCATACTACTAACAAGGTATATAAAATATAATAACTCTCATGTTAGATGAATAGTTGACCATATTTATACCTATCAATCTGCACACTATGTTCATTTAGTGATGTTGATGCTGGTTGGAAGAGATCATGTAAGCTCTGTCTTAATTCTTCTGCTTCTAATCCTATCACATGGATTCAAAGAACAGCATGTTAAAATAAATGCAAAGACAAAAATATATCAGAATAACTAAATAGTATATGGTAACTGTTAATACAGGTTTCTTGAATTAGCATATTTGGAATTAATATGTTAAGAAACCCATATATATGCACGCACACACACTTGTGTGGGTGGTGATGGCAGTGGTGATGGTGGTGCTGCTGCTGCTGCTGCTACTACTCTGGCTGCTAATGCTATTGCTACTGCTACTTAGAACTACCACTGCAACTGCTACTGTTGTTGTTGGTGCTACTGCTACTGCTACTGCTACTGCTACTGCTGTGGTTGCTGCTGCTGCTACTGCTACCACTGTTGTTGCTGCTGCTGCTGCTGTTGTTGTTGCTGCTGCTACTGCTACTGCTGTAGTTGCTGCTGCTGCATGCTACCGCTGTAGTTGCTGCTGAGCTACTGCTGTTGTTATTGCTACTGCTACTGCTACTACTACTACTACCACTGTAGTTGCTGCTACTGCTGCTGCCCCTGCTTGCTGTAACGGCGCGTGGGACACGACGAATGGCAACACATACACATTACAAGAGCCTAGAGGCAGTTGGTAAATACGAATACGTTTAAATACGAATTCGACTTAGTAAAATACCTTCAACACATTCTCTAGACGTACTTGAATATATATATATATATATATACCGTGTGAAAACTTGTTTTAACCGGTATCACATTTGGCAGAATGTTAGATTCCTACTAGCCTGCCTGTCTGTCCTTCGATGGCAACTATAGATAGCATTGATATCTCACGAGACTGTGAGGAGCAGAAGGGATAGTGGCGTGTAAAAAATTCTATAGGACTCCATAGAAAAAATTTCTATAGGAATTCATTTCTATACAACTCTATAGGAAACTTTCCATAGAACTATGTGGGTAAATAATATACTATAATAATAATATAATTGGAACATTTTTCTATAGTTCTATGGGGAAAAATTGTACCTATTTTTAACAACTCACCATCTGAAAATAGCAGGCTGTTGCCATAAATTTGGTGAAAGAAATCCTTATATCCCATTCGAAAACAGTTGTACTTGTCTGCAATGGATAGAGTGTGAAATTGTGATGTTACAGCATAGATCAGATGTACTTTCTAAACACAATTTACGATTTTGATTATGAATGAAGCTATATTATTTTATTTTATTATTATTTTGTTTTATTTATATTATTTATATTACTATATTTTATATGTTGTTTAGCAACATTAGACCATAGAAAAACCTGAAGGCAAGACAATATTTGCATATTTTTGCTTTGATAAGATTAATATTTAAATCGATCAACACATAATTGTTTACCATGCAGCAATTCCCTCACAGCTGTATTCGATCCAATAAAGACTGTTGGTTGGTTAAGAAAACGTGCTTGGAATATTCTTGAACGATGGTTATTCATATGTTTCTGAACAAACTCAGTGGTATTCCTGCAAAAGATATATAATATAGTCACTATAATTTATAACTCAAATAATGACAGCATATCTAGACCTATAGCCAACTCAGCTGGCTGTTTTTGGGTTTATAAATATATATAAGAGCCTATTCAGAAATGTTACGAGGGCAATTATATGAGACGTAAATCATAAAACAACAAGACAACAATCTGATACATTGCACAGCTTATTTAAAGGGATACTAGACTCTAGGATTTTACTGCATACAACTGTACTTAATGTATAACAAATCGTCTATACCCACACGTACTTGTTACCAGATACCTAATTTAATTGTTATAATTAATTATACATCAACGCTACAAAATTTGAACGGCGCCATTGACACCCGCGGCCGTGCTGCCATGCACCCTAAAAAAGTTGCGCTTTTCCCAATATATTTTGCACATTACAAACTGATGGCTAATCACAAAGGTGCAATTATATTTATATCTAAATGCTATTTAACCAAACGATGTTCATTTTAAAACACATTCATCCATAATATAACTGAAACTATATGTCGTTTATAAGATATTACAATCCTTTTGATTTTAAATGAATGAATAAGAAACACCCTCGGTCTGTCGCTCTGGGCTGAAAAGTCGTTTTGCGCAACGTTTCAGATCGTGCACTTTGAGTGGCGCCACCGTCGTTGTAATCAAACTGTAGTCGTTAGTTTTAAAACATTAAAAAAAAATTTCTAATGGTGATTAAACCATGAAACTTTTTATGTAGCATAATTTTAACCTAAATTAAATGAAAATAACCCTAGAACCTAGAGTAAAGGATCCCTTTAAGCCAATTTTCCATTGCGAACAGAAATGCGTGCATGCATGCTGCATAATAACCATGCACACTTTGTAATGCACACTTTGTGGCCAGCTTTTAACTGTGTTTAATAAATACCCACTACTAGCCAGGCTGCCACCTGCCATAGGTGCCTGAAAATCCTTAACAAAATAGGCAGTCAGTATTATACTTTAGAAAACAGCATCTTTTTCGCTTTCTTAAAATGCTAGTTGGACACTGCATCAGAAATTTTTTGATGTTCAAATAATTTTTACAAACTTGAAAAGTATACAAAATCAAGTTAGTGTGAAACCTATAATCGCAATAGGCCAAGGAGTGTGTGCAAGTTTCACCAGCACACACAATGTTCACAATGCATTACGGTTTTGATAATAGAAATTGGCTTAGGAGTTATATGACACATACGTGACCACTACTAAATCACTACTGTTCACTATACACTCGGGTTAGACTTAGTGGATGTGACGTGTCATTTGCCAACCCATATGACATCATAGAGGTCATAGAGCCATAGAGGACATCATAGGTCATAGAGCCCGCAAGCCAGATATTTAAGCTGACAAGATGTTTTGTGGATGCATTATTTAGGCTAGCTTGATCATATGTGTGCTAATGGCATAGATATGGAGATGGATGGATAATTTCTGGGAATATAACATTTCTTCTAGATAACTCATGGTGTGAATTTGTCTGTTAGGCTGTTTTTAGGCATAGATATGTGGACTGGTATCAGCGAGTTAATTTGAGATTAATTTTTAACGCCAGCCAATTAACATGAAAAAAAATGAAACACACATGACACAGGAACAAATGGCTACTTGGCTCTAATGACGCCATACATCATGGAAACACCCACACATTTATTTTTGCCAATTTTGGCTCTTGAAGTTTGGATTTTGTAAATAGGATACTGTGGGAAATTCAATAGTGGACTCATCCAGCGAACGAGCTTGGCACTCGCCCGCTCACCAATGTCGAGTGAAAATAATATCGGGCGAGTAAAAGCTAAAGCTGACTCGCCCATGTTGGCGAGTAAAAAAAATTGTCTAAAACGTTAATCAATTGTTGGTTCCTTACGTTATATATCCAAACATTGATGAAAAACAGTTCTCGTAATTGTGAAGGGTGGCCATCCCACCGCATCCTCACTTTCTATTATCAAAGGTCGCCGACAGTCAGCACAGCGTGGCTGTGTCTATGTGCCTGGGGCGGCATATTGATTGATGTACGGGGGGGGGGGGAGGGAGTGCAGGATTGTTTAAAAGTCGCGTGGGGCATGTTAATTATATAGGGGTTTGGCACCGCTGGGATCAGAGGACGACAGCAAAATTCTTTCCTGGAATTGAGGAAAAAGCTGCAATCGGGAATGACACACAATGAGCGTGCCGGCACGCAAAGATAAACGTTGTGTGAATTTCATTACGATTTTCCAGGTATATATTGCAATATCAGGAGTGCATAATATCGATATAATATATAGATCTATATATATATATATATATATCAGGAGTAGATAATATAGGAATCCGGATAACTGGTGGCTGGATAAACGAGGTCGAACTGTATATGATATAGTCGCAGACGTCCATGGGACTGTTGTACCCAAACTTGGAATCATGCACAAACTAGGAATTACATAAATAACATTCTATTACGAATGCTCGGGACCAACTTACTCCAGCCAGTCGGCGGGAACTATACATTATTTCCGCATGCTGACTGGCTGGAGTAAGTTGGTCCCGAGCATTCGTAATAGAATGTTTCTATAGCCCTGCGGCAACTGTACACGGGCTATAGTACTAGAGCTAAACAGGACTATACTGAAGAATAGCATTGTATGAACGTATAAGATTGACATCGTAACTGCTGGCACACGAGTAATGACAACAACAACTTATGCACTCAGTCTCAGTCATAGATACGTATTAATAACGTAACCCAACATACATGTGGTAAACATCAGGTTTAGCGTCGTAAATTAACTTGCAAACGCCACCGCCAGATGGCGCTACGCGGTCTATCGGCGTTTCGGGCGTATCAGTGGAACATCGTCAGCACTCTCGTAGTTCTGGTACAGGGTAGCAGGAGGAGGAAGTTTAGAGTAGTACTAGTAGGTGGAGTAGGGAGAAGCTAGTGAAGAATGAGGAAGGGGAGAAGGGAGAAGCTGGTGGAGAAGGAGGAAGGGGAGAAGGGAGAAGGTGGTGGAGAAGAAGAAATTAGGGGAGAAAGGAGAAGCTGGTGGAGAAGGAGGAGGGGGAGAATCTGGTGGAGAAGGAGGAAGGGGAGAAAGGAGCTGGTGGAGGAGGAGGGGGAGAAGGGAGAAGCTGGTGGAGAGAGGAAGGGGAGAAGCTGGTGGAGCTCCACGATGTTCCACTGATACACCCGAAACGCCGATAGACCGTGTAGCGCCATCTGGCGGTGGCATTTGCAAGTTAATTTACGACGCTAAACCTGATGTTTACCCATAGATGTAACCTAGCTCTAGTACTATAGCCCGCGGATAGCTGCCGCAGCTATCCGCGGGCTATAGTACTAGAGCTAGATGTAACCCTACTCTTGTTGGGTTACATTATTGTATCTATCAGTATCGCTCATAGGGTCTATGTCCCCCAGGGTACTGCCGGAACGTACCCTGGGTACGGTCCGGTATACCGGAACGTAGGTACCCTGGTAACTATTTGATATGGTTAGAGTTAAGGCCAAGACACACTGCAGCGACAGCGACCGACCGTAACGACAAACGACAAGTCGGGGACGAAAACACAAAGAACCACACTGCAGCGACAACGCGACCGCTAACAACAAAGTTAACACCCATGCCTCACCACAGTGCCAGTGCCAGTGGCACACATAAACAAATGGCAAAAAACTCCTGCTGCTGCTTTTAAATAAATTGCTGTAAAAACGCTCTATATATTAACGATAATATAATAAAGTAATATATACGCAGCATATTATACGAACGTCTGATGGCTGACCGTAGCCTTGCACGTTTTTGGTTAGATGGTGTTCGCGGCCCCACTGTTTTCTGACGAGCGTGCGAGTTTAGGCGCTGGGGACCAGTCTACTTCCTGGCTAGCATTGGTTATTATTTTTTATGACGTAATCGGCAATGTCACGTGCCGATGGAAACGGCTGTGATTGCGCCATTTGTAAAGTGTCGCCGGCGAAAGTCGCTGGAAATAGAAACGTTTCTAAATATTTTTGTCGTCACGGTTGTCGCGGTCGTTCGTCAGCGTCAGTGTGCAATGGCTCATAGGAAACAATAGTTTCTAATTTTCTGAAAAAGTCGTTTGTACGTTACGGTCGGTCGCTTGTCGCTGCAGTGTGTCTTGGCCTCTTATAGGGTTAGGCCTTAGGGTTAGGGTTAGGGAGTAGGCGTAGGCGACTCCCTAGACTCGTTAGTGGAGAACTAGACTTCTAATTGTATGCTTTTGCGGCCGCTTCATTTAAACAGGAGGATCTTACAGCATATTGCTTACTAAATGTTAAGTGATGCATGATTAGCAATAATTTTATCCAACCTCTTAAAATTCAACTGCCTTGTCTCTCCAAAAACTGCTCGGCCACAACTTCCTGGCAAGCTAGCCATGGCACGTACGCGGTGTTGACTGAGAAGAGTAGCGACACGAGATGCTACAGAGCTAGATTACTTGAGTAAGCAGGCTTCTCAATCTGCACAGCAGCGAATAGCATGATCGCCTATCTGTTCGGTACGAGCACCTACAAGAAAACTACAAGATTACATATCTTGTGCACACAGAACGAAGTGCACTTCGAAGTCCACAAAAAACAAACCTATAGGTTTAATACATCACCGCGTGGTGCGCTCAGTCTCTTCCGCGTATCGGCCAACGTCCACAAAAGAGTTTCTCTCTCTTTCTCTCTCTCTCTCTCTCTCTCGCTCGCTGTCTTCTCTATCTATCTCTCTCTCTCTCTCTCTCTCTCTCTCTCTATATATATATATATATATATATATATATATATATATAGGCCATTATAATATACCCTTACCATGCACTCTTTCAGTATAATAATTATGTAACAGCTACTTTTAATCTCCAGCAAAGTTTCGGTGGGAAAACAGACACAACCCCCAAATGATTTCCACTTCATTCCCACCAATCTATATACCGCTCACTACACAACATTTGCACAAGCAAAACCAACTACACAACTAGCTATTCCCTGTTTAAAGCCCGGCGCACACGTGAGTAATTTAACTCAAGTAAAATAATGCATGCGTCAAAATTCTTACGAGTGCGCCGGGCTTAACATCACAATTAACACGCATATATCTAAAAAAAATCTCGACTTCCGTGCATGATAGAGGTTAAAGGATTTATGTCCAGCTTTTAAATGTAAATATAACCCAGTCACAAGGTGCATAACTCCTACTTCATCCTTTCCCGTCTTTCTCCAATCCTCCCTTGTCCTTTGCACGATCTCCTTCTTCTTCTGCCGCATGCACCTATCTTCCCTGACACCTTTCCTCATTCTCCCATCCGTCTTTTTCTCTCAGCAAGCTATGTAAATACCGTTTACTTCAGTCCGTACAGCACGCCTGAAACGGTGATCGCGCATGTGCAATATCTCCCGAGAAGAAGAATATTTTGCGGAAATTATGCACTTAGAATAGAGAGCAGGTATACTAGCATAGATCTATATGATAACATTCCGTCAATAGACCTCTCTTAAGAAATAGGAAGAAATCCTTGCATGTAAGGTACCCGCTGCATATACCAGTCAGTACTAAATCTGGCTACGATAGTGTGTTAGCGCATACGCAATATCTCACCAGAGGAGTCATATTTTTTGTAAGAATATGCATTTAATATGGTTTGGCGATATCTCAGCATAGATTTATGCAATAAATTATTATCAGTTCACCTGTGTTTATAATTTGGAGAGTGCCCTATCCTGTAGGGTGCAAAACTCCTACTTCATCCCCTTCCGTCATACCCCTTAATTAACTCTCTTGTCCTTCGCACGTTCTCCTTCTTCTTCTACTGCACTTAGCTATCTTTCCTGCCGCCTTTCTTCAGTCTCCCATGCGTCTTTCCTTCTCAGCAAGCTATATTTTGCAGTTTACTCCAGTCCGTACTGCACGCCCGAAACGGTGCTCGCTTATGCGCCATATCTCACCAGATGAGTTATATATTGTGATGAATATGCGTTTAATATGGTTAGGGCCTATCTCAGCATAGACTTTTGTAATAAATCGTTATCATCAGACCCGTGTTTATATTTAGGAAAGCGCCCTAGCCTGTATGGTGCAAAACACTTCATCCCCTCCAGTTCTTCACCTTACCTCCCTTGTCCCTCGCGCGATCTCCTTCTTCTTTTACTTCTATTTAAGCGCGTAATAGCGGCCGAAAAACAGTGTCTTAAGTAGCTATTCTGAGTATACTATTTTTCTGAAATTATGCGTTAAATATAGATTCACGGGCAGCTTGTCGTGAAACATTTCTTTCCCAACGCCTGGCTTTATTTATTTTAAGATGTCTTAGCTTCCCGATAACTCAATTGCTTCGTGTTTATCACACATTTTAATATATGTATATAAACAATTACATGTTACAATAACACGTTTTTTTATGTGAAACATAACAATGCCAATGTCTTACTTTAATAACTGCTACTTTCTTGTGTTCCTAACTTGTTTGCAACGTAGCGTAGCGTAGCGTTGCGTATGATCTCTGTTCGTGCGTACTGAATATCTGCTAATAGCATTAATGCTTTCTTGAGATTATACGTTCCATATAGATAACAGATACCCTAGTGACGTTTTATGCGGTTAATATGTATCCCAATGCTTCACTGCGTTGATTTTAGGATGCCGTGGCTTCGTGGCAACTCAATTCCCTCAACACCGAATATTATTACCTCCGCAAGGACAGTGGCGTAGTTAGGGAGGCCAAAGGAGGCCATGGCCCCCCTTGTTGATCCGAAAGTAAAATTTAAAAAACAAAACAAGAATTGCTCTACTAAAAAGAGAATTGTCGTAGTCAGAATGAAGGCTGTACATGTACTCAAATGTGCCTCAAAGACCATCTCCTGCGATCTACATTTTCAAAATGTTCTGCGTGAGGACTCCCATACCCCCCGTCTGTGTTTCACCCCCCCCCCCTCGTCGTAATCCTGGATCAGCCACTGAACAGTTACATATCTAGGGAGCAGAGAACAACGAACAGGAATGTCGCCTTTTTGCATGGCGTCCAAAACAAAGATTGCAGAGTTGAGAGGCGGAGGAGCATAGTATATGGAGAGGGAAGCGGAGGAACCATTAAAATATTAAGTCATTCACTATTTTGCGCAGTTCGTTGTTTTTGCCCCCCCCCTGTTAAAAAATCCTGGCTATGCCACTAGCCACGGAGGTTGTGTTTTCGCCCCTGTTAGTTTGTTTGTTGGTTTGTTTGTCTGTCTGTCAACAGGACATCTCAAAAAGTTACGGACGGATTTTGATGAAATTTTAGATTTTGGTGGTGATCCGAATCCAGATCTGGATCCACTCCAGGATACTTTTTTCTTTCTTTCTTTTGTGGGGAAGACTTCGGACGCATTCAAAATTAATTTTAAAAAATCCTGAATCTTTTTTTTCAAATTTCTGAAAATTTCATCAAACTCTATATTGGGTGTACCACCAAGATGGGGGGGGGGAATGTTACGCTGTGGCAGAGGTTTGCTATCTCCGATTGCTCTTGTTATGCACATGTTTACATTGACGTTGGGTGGCGTATCATTCAATGTAGAAATGGTGTATAACGGCAAAAGAAATGTACACTATTTTGTCAAAGTTATTAATTTAAACTAGAATGCAAATGCACTCAAATGATTTACTATGAGAAATAACAATTATAATACCTCACTTTGATAATTACAACTACTCGAGCGTTCCTAGCCTGATTGCGCCGTTGCATAGCTTATGGCGGCCGATCTCTGTTCGCGCGTTTCAAGTTGTCAATATTTTTGCTCTTATGAAAAAAGGTCAGTAACTTACATGTAGAAGTCTGCTAGGGGAAATGTTACTGCTTGTAAAAATTATCAGCTCAATCGAATATTAAATTTTGTCTAGAAACGTAATTGACATGTGAGCGGATATTATCCGTCTCTATATTGTGAATACTGATGCCTTTGAAATTTAACTGTTATCAAATTCAATCAGATAGCCGTCAAATCGAAACGCAATATGAAAATATTTTCAATATACTGTCCCTTTGATCGCAAGCTAGTGTAAACATCTAGCTGTACATCACATGTTCGTAACATCGTCGAGGGAATCAAAACTATTTATATATTATTGCATCCCATGACTTTGCAATCTATTCGGCAAATATGAAGTGAATAAGACAAACTTTCTTAAACGAACAATTTCAATTTGTATTAAAACACAAACGTAACACGTAACACAATTTGTATTAAAACACAAACACAAGCGATGACTCAGGAAAACTGCTACAGGTAGGGGAAATAACTGCGTCGCGCAAGCAATAGTGCCCGCTCAGGCGGGCACCATTGTTTCATAGTACCTGCGATGTTATCCAATGGAATTTCAACGATTTATCATGTGATGCACTAATGTATTGTTTTGTATTTTTTATGTATTGTATTTATTTTATTGTTTTATTTATATGCATTGTAGTGTTTTGTATTTCAGGATATTGTATTTTATTGTAGTTAGTTTCTGGTATTAATTATATGCTTGTATTGTATTGTATTTCAGGTTATGCATTGTATGGTATTTTATTGAGTTGTTGTGTTGTGTTTTCAGGGTTTCAGAGAATTTGTCTTGTTTGAGCAGATGGTTTTACTTGGCAATTCGTGTCAAGTATTGAAATTATATAAGAGCGGTCAGTAAGATTTGTCGGTTGGCAGTGTAAGCCATAAGTATTGTACTAATCGTGGTCAGTGCAAAGTCTTGTAAACATTGTTTTGTTTTTATTATGTGGGGATGTGTTAAGTGAAAGGGTTATTGTATTAGTATGGTCGACGGTACGTGGAATTTTATTTAATGTCGGTCTCTATTCGTCAGGAAGAGGTAGCGGGTGTGTATTTGTGTGTGTGTGTGTGTGTGTGTGTGTGTGTGTGTGTGTGTGTGTGTGTGTGTGGTGGTGTAGTGTTCAGTGTGTGTGGGTGTGTGTGTGTGTGTGTGTGTGTGTGTGTGTGGTGTGTGGCTTGTGTGTGGTGTGTGTGTGTGTGTGTGGTGTGTGTGTGTGTTCTTGAGTCTGGGGTGTGTTAGATATGGTGTGGTATGAAGTTAGTTGAAGAGGAAATTTAGATCAGCGGGACGTTGAAGCGATGATGGGGTCATCATTTTGAAGAAGGGGGAGGTAAATGTAACAGATGTTAACATACATGTATGTTAACATCTGTTACATTTACCTCCCCCTTCTTGAAAATGATGACCCCATCATCGCTTCAACGTCCCGCTGATCTAAATTTCCTCTTCAACTAACTTCATACGTACATATTAGTAGCTAGACTTAGCTTTAAATAGCCTGGGTTGGGGAAGAGTCAGTATAGTTGGCATCTAGGTTACAAATAGTAGGTATAATTGCGTGTGTGATGTAGACGCGTGTTAGTTTAGGACTATTAGTCTAGACAGGGGTGCAGACCGGGTACATGTGGTGGTTAGCCCAGACAAAGAACTAGGCAGTTGTGTGTATGATTAGTTAGGCAGGGTGAAGTTGTG